TGGAACGCTCTTCTATCCTACTTCATTTAGATACCTCCAACTGAGACTTCAGATCTTCCTTAAGATCTCCCCTGGTGCCCTGAGATTCCATTAAGCACACTCAGGGCTCCCAGACCTGTTTGGGCATCCTCCTATGATAACACACATTGCTCTACGTATTTATCTGTCTGTGACCCAGGTTAAACCAGCAGTTCTGCAAGACGTAAACCACAGCTGAATACCCCATGCAATAAATAAATGATTGTGAATGGATAACTGAAAGGAGGGAGAACAGGGTGGCAGAAAGATGGGTGAGTGGGTAGGTGAGGAGATGGATAGATAAATAAATCCTCCCAACACTCTGGTCTGCTCCAGCTCCATCTTTGGGTCCTCACCAGCCCCTCCCAGCCCCCAGCTCCCTCTATTTGAATGTACTTCCCTCATCACTTTCCTGAACCTGACACATCTTTCAGGGTCTAGTTCAAGCTCTCTGTCACCCAGGAAACATTGCCAACCACTCCAGAATCTTCTTCTAACTCTACTCTCTGATTCTTAAAACCTCAACTGTCTAAGGGACCCTATGCAGCCCCCAAGTTCCCAAGGTCATGTGGCATATGCAGACTGCCAGTTCCTGCAGCAGAGACTCTCAGCCTTCTCTGGTCCAGCCTCCCCCAGCATCCTCCCAGGCCAGTGACTCTCAGTGGAGGTGGGTTGCTATGACTCTATCAGAACTGGAGAAGCAGACAGGACTGCCAGACAGGCAGGTATCTGTTGACAGGTGTGTAGTGGCTGTAGTGGGGTTGGGAATATCAGAGTAAATTTCAGACTACAAGCCTCCATTACATTCTGATTTGCTGCCTTCTGTGTGTCAGGAGTCTCTGAGGGCCATTGCCAAGCAGTCAGTTCAGACTCATGGTGACCTCTAGTGTTACAGAGTAGAACTGAGCTCCAGAGGGTTTCCTTGGCTGCCATCTTTACACAAGCAAACCACCAGTGGTACTGGTAGGTGGGTTTGAACCACTCACCAATTGGTTAGTAGCCAAGTACAAACCATATTTGCTACACACAGGGACCTCAAGGGCAGCCACCTATTATAAGCCTAATTAGATGAAGTCCCCTTTGGCCAGACTCTTCCTTTCACTCCTTTCCCACCCACCCTGAATGCAGGGCAAGCCTAGGATTTCCACACTTAGATGGAGCTCTGGTAGCGTTGTTGTTGTTGTTGTGAAGTGCCGTCGAGTCGGTTCCGACCCATGGCGACCCTGTGCAGGGTTTCCAAGGGTGTAAATCTTTACGGGAGTAGAAAGCCTCATCTTTCTCCTGCGGAGCGGCTGGTAGTTTTGAACCGCTGACCTTAAGGTTCGCAGCCCGATTCGTAACCATTGGTCCATTCAGTACAGGGAGACAAAAAGGACTGCCTCCCCAGCCCTGAGGCCACCACATTTAGCAGACATTCATTTCCAGGGGAGGGCAGAAGTGTTGGCAAGTCCCTCCAGTGGCCTAGGTCAGGCCTGTCTGTCCATAACCCATAGAGCCCCACCTCACCCAGCAGGGGACAGTTAAGGGACATTCACATCTGGCTCCTCAGGGAGCTCCAGGCGGGGCAGCCAGGCGGGTTGGGAGGGCTTCATTGTCTGCCTGCCCCACCCAGCTCGTTAGGAAGAACATGTTGCTCTAATTACACTTCCCAGGAAAAATAGTGTTTTAAATTAAGGCCTTGAGGGAGGGATGGGGGATGGGAGAATCACTGGATTTATTTTTCTGATTGCAAAACATCAAACTTTTCCTTCTGGTGTATTTCGGGGTGCAAGAGTACATCTAAGACTTAAAGCTGTGCCCCGCTTCCTGGATTTGGAAGAGTGAGTTAAAGGATATTTGGTGGACCTGAGCTCACAGTGAAACTAGCCTGGTGCACACAGCCAGCCCTTCTACCAGATCAGAGAAGCAGCAGATCCAAAGGGTAATACTCATAATCATGCCCACCCATAAGATGGTCAGGAGGGCAAGCCCCTACTCCCCACTGTAGGGTCCCAGGTGGGGTCTTCCTCCTCACATGCTCCACTACCCTAGGGCACCCTGATGATGAAGGAGCCCATCATCATGCGTGTGAGCACTCGTGTGGGTGTGTTCTCCCGACTGGACACACTCGCACACACTCACACGTGCACGCACCCTCTCCAGTTCTCAGGAAATCTAAAATTGCTGTTTCTTTGAACTCATTCCCCTTGGCAGCGTGGACCGCCTTTGTTTTCCAGACAAAAAGGAAAAGAAATGAGACAGAGGGCTAAGAAGAGGCCGGGAGAAGGAGGGAGAGTGGGAGTGGGGGCCAAGGAGGGAACAGAGGAAGAGTGAACTGGAAGGGAGAGCGGGAGAAGGGGAAGGCGCTTGGGAAGGCCAGGAATGGAGACAGCACGCATACCACACGGAGGAAAGGACCAGGCTGGGGAGCAGGAAGGCAGGCCCACACTCCTGGCCCACTCTCTCCACCAGGGCCCATAGCTCTCCCCACAGCACCAGAGCCTCAGACACAACAACACGGCCTCTTCCCCACCAAAGTTCCCAGGGAGGCAGTTCTGTGGGAGTCCACTGAGACTCATAGCAACCCTGTATAGGGTTTCCAAGGAATGGCTGGTGAATTTGAACTGCCGACCTTGCAGCTCAAACTGACCTTACAGTCCAGTGCTTGTCCTACATTGCCACACCAGGTAGTTCTAGATGGGCATCAACTTTCTAGGCAGTGAGGTGACCTGAGCCCCAGGAGACGGGATGCCTGGGACCCCTCCGCAGCAGCTTGGCCATGATGGAGACCTCTCCCTTTGACAATTTTTGCTATAAAAGTCAGCTTCCAGTCATCTCTCCCAGGAAGCCATCCCTTACCATCCTCCACCTGCTCCAAGAGCCCTCAGCACCACAGACAGCATTTCATCTCTATTGTACTGTTATTCTTCAGAAGGTTTCCAATCAACTTTGCACAGGTGCATGGCTGCTGCTCAACCCAAAAGGAACTCCACTAGAGAGGGGGTCCTGAAACCATCCGTCAGGGCCACTTACCCCCATCTGTCCTCTACCCCCCAAACCCTCTGATTACTACAACTACTTCAAAAGCCTCCACCCTGGCTTCCCCCACTGCCCCTTGCTCCCCAACCCATCCAGACACACAGTTCCCTAACCCTGTCTTCCAGGCCCCTCTATGCCCAGTCTTGCACGGGCTCCTCATGGTGGCCTGTGGCCCAAAATCTAAGCTCGCAGAGGGATGGAGGCTGGGAGTTGGGGGTGGGGTGCTGGTGAAGGAATACAAGGCAGGGGCTTGGTCACAGGGAAGACAGATATTAAGACAAAAATATTTGCACAGCTAGAGGAGGCCAGTTTGCTGCCAAACCTCCAATAGGACCCCCAGGGGATTCTTTTTCATTTTCTTTTTTGTTTTAATTGAGGTAAAATTCACATAACATAAAATTAACCATTTTAAAGTGAACAATTCAACGGTATTCAGTAAAACCACTACCTCTGTCTAGTTCCAAAACATTTTCATCACCCCAAAGGGAAACCCGGTACCCATTACTAGTCATTCCCCATTCTGCCCTCTCTTCAACCCCTGGCAACCATCAATCTACTTCTGTTTCAATGGATCTACCTATTCTGGATGTTTCATCCTAATGGAATCATACCCCTCAGGGTTTCTTAAAACTAAATGGACCCCAGGATCTTGGCATGAGGCTTGGTCTTGAAGTGAGAGAGAACCAGCTGAGCTCTGGGGTCTAGGTTGGGCTGAGTGGCAGGGATGTAGGGTCCACAAGGTCATCTCTGCCATTTTCCCTGGACCAATCCGTAACCTACTCCCTGCCTTCCTTCATCCTACAGGGCTTCAGCACCTCTGAACCTGCCAGCAGACACCCAGGCTTTGCTCTCCCTGGACCTTGCCTCAGCCTGTGGCCTGGCTGACCTACAGCAGGACACTTGGCTTCTTCAGGTCCTGACCCCAAAGCTTCAACTTCAATTTGCTTCCTGACAATAAGACCACAAAAGATCCATGCTCTCAGAATCCAAGTCTTCATTGCTATATATTACAAAACCAGTTGCTAAGTATTGTAACTTTTTTTAAAAATAACTTGTCCCTGGACTGGGTTTTCTTTAGAGCAGGCTGTGGGTTTTGGCCCCATAGTGCTCTCAATCAAGAGCAAGGGCTCCGTACTGTTTCCCTGGACGGGGCTCTGCTCCCCTTTCCAAATCGGCAGTCTTTCGCAACTGCAGCCAGAATCGGGAGGCTGCCTGTCAGGAGCAATTATGGCCAGCTCACTTGGCGGACCCCACCTTGATCTGGGAACAAAAAGGAAGTGAGGTAAGGGGCGCTGAGCCTACAGATCCCACATCCTGACCCTGCACTCTCAAGTCCAAATTGCACCGAAAAGGTCAAACCATGTCCACTCCCAGCTTGGGGATTCCCTGACGGCAGGAAGTTTCTGCTCTTTTCCCAACTCCGCATCTGACTAGGGCTCTCTGTCTCTCTGCCCAGCCTGTGCCCAGGCAATGAGGATCTGCTCACAGATAAACAGCAGGCATGAGGGAATGCCTCCTCATCCTCCACCACAAAGGGTGGGGACTTGCTTTGTCTAGATGCAAACCCCAAACTTCTTCCTAGTCCCCAAAATTCCAGCCTAGAGTCTGGCTGCCTGGACCTAAAGTATGTTCCCCTATCTCTTCCTAGGCATGTGACAAGGTCTGGCTGATGTCCTTGACCAGAAAGACTTCCTTGCTACCTGGTCTATGAGCAGATAAGGCTGCATTGCTATGAATGCTGTCTGAGTAAGTCTGGGCTCCCAACAGAACAAGGCTTCTAAGACCAGAATCATCGACGAGACACCTCAGGCAGCCCTGGACTCATGTAGAATGTCAGAATGAACTTAAGAGGACTCTCCCACTGAAGCACCACCGGAACGTGGAAGGCTGGATCTCACCTTCTCTCTGCCTCTCCCTCTACCCGACTCCCTGCCATGAGCCATACCTCTAAGGGCCCAGCTTACCTCTTCCAGAATCCTTGATGTATCGTGAGCCTGGACCATGAACATGGCCACATTCAGCATCCAAGAGACAGGGGAAGGAGAAAAGAGAGGAAGGTAAAAGTTTACATTAGTGACAAGAAGCACTTCCACTAGGCCAGATGTGTCCACCAGACATCACTTCTGAGAGAACCCAACAGAAACCAGCTCCCATCAAGAGTGAGGTGGCCTGCTTCCCACATGCCCCTCCACATGGCCCACAAGAAGAAGGGGTGATGGACACCAATGAGGAGGGATTGGTGGGAAAGCTAAAGCACGAGCCTACAGTCTGGGCCTCTAGGAGTTACAGGAGAAGGAAGGGGACAGACCCTCAGCAGCAGATCCAGGAAGATAGGTCTGAGGCCCTGGAGCTATTGCACTGCCTCTGGACTTGGGGAACTAAGGGGAAGCCAGCTAGCATCATCAGGGACTGGCAGAACTGAGAGAGGGCAGGGATGGAGATGGGAGCAGAGTCGGGGTGGGAAGAGCTGATATAGTAAGAAATGTCTCCTAGGGGGTAGGGCACCCAAAAAGCTCCCAAATGATACAGCAGAGCTTGGTCTAGAATGGTGCTTCCTGAATTAAACAGCCTGGGGGCGGGGGTCAGTGAAATGGCTACATTTTATACCACAACCCCCAGGAGAAGGAAGAAGAACAGCTGAGGAGGGAATGGATTCCTAGTAGTAGCAGAGGGAAAAACCGGGGTCACAATAGCAACCGTTACTTGGGAAACTGGATCTAAATCAGTCTGAAACTCAAGCGCACATCAGGGTCACCTGGAGGGCTAGTTAAGAGACAGGCTGCTGGACGGCACCCTCAGAGTTTGCCTCAGTGAGTTTGAAGTAAGACCCAAGAACGTATGTTTCTAACAATATCCCAGGTGATGTGGCGCTACTGGTGGGAACCATATTTTGAGGGCACTAGACACATCTGTTGTTCTCAGTACTGGCCTCCTGGCAAGATTGTGGAGGTGTGAACCTGCCTACCCCTCCCACCTGAAAGACTGCTACTGACCCGGAAAGAAAAAAGAGTAAGACTGACCTCAAATCCAGGAATGTGGTGGATGGCAGGCTAGCGGGGAAGAAAAGATGGCTTTAGTCACATGTGTCACCTGAGCCCATCACCCTCCTTTCTGCCTGGCAGAATAACACATCTTCAAGGACACGGATGGGATATGTCCACGATCACGTGGTCCAGGAGTTTGTAGACTCCATTCCTTGAAGGCCTGGAACTTCCTCAAAGGCACTTGGGTGCTCAGAAGTTGAAGTGGGGATACACAAGGGGAAGCCAGTGCCCCTCAAACACTTCACCTCGAGCAGCTTTGTTTGTATCTGAATTACACATTGAGGTTCGTGTTATACAAACAAGAACCTGAAAACAGAGCACTAACCAAACCCCATTTTGCAGGAAGGGTATGCTGGCCCAGGGTCCAGCAGTCCTACCATTGCCTTCCACTGCAGTTCAAACTGCCACCCCCTCTCCCTGCCAAACCACAGGGTCCATGGCAGTGTATGACCCAAAATGCCAAATCAAACCCACTGCCTTTGAGTCAATTCTGACTCATAGTGGCCCTATGTAGGGTTTCTGAAGCTGTAAATCTTTATGCGGGCAGACTGATTCATCTTTCTCCTGGGCAGCAACTTGTGGGTTTGAACTGCCAACCTAGCTGCCCAGTACTTATCCCACAGTACCACCATGGCTCCTTAGCATATGACCCAATGAATAATAAATCCGTTGGTCAAAGGACTCAGACATTCTAACACAGTCCAGATTTCCACCAGTGTGCCCTAATTTAAAGGTCAGAAAAGATGGGTAGACCGAGTCTGAGCAGGAGACCTGACTCAAAGAGGGTCAGGCAGCTGCTCCCAGCCCTCCGCACCTGGCCACTCGCTTCCTGCCTAGGCCTTCCCACCAGGAGGACCACCCTCACCTTCTCTCTCTGGATGAGCTCAAAGGAGGCCAGCAACTCTCCCGCCACCTGGCTGCCCCTGGTCAGCGAGAACCAGGCCAGCCGGGGCATCCGTTCCAGACTTGGTTGACAAATGCAGCGTCCCAAAAATTCATCTGCACCCTATATCAGTGGGGAGAAAAAACAATCAGGGCCGTGGGTAGTCTCAGAGAGGCCATCAGGCCTACATAAGGCCACCTGAACTGGAAAAACACCTGGACATCCCGGCAGCTCCCTCTTGTAAAATGGTAAGCCCTGTCCTGTCTACGTCCCAACCCAAACTGTACCTGCTCCTTCTCCCTGACCCTACATCTTCACTACTCCATCTCTTTGCCCATCTCCTCCTGTCCCCAAAGGAATCCGCACTCTTCTCTAAACACACCCAAAGAGACCCTTCCTCAAGGTGTTCATTCCTACCCACACCAGCTTTTCCTTTCAAGTCCCTGGGTAACCTTCTCAGACTAGACCTCTTCCTGCTTTCCAGCACCTCCTTGTCTACCAGAGTGTCTGGACAACAAAGAAGCACTCACGGAGCTCAGGACAATGGGGCTTTGCCAACAGCATCACCTTGCCCTACCCATCCCCTGGTTACCACTCTTCCCAGGGCAGCTGATATCCAGCCATAGAAACTCTTTCTGGAAAAGATCATCCAACCCCTGCCTCCGCACAGCCACCCCCAGCCCAGGCCAGGTCCTCTCTGCCACCCAGCTGCTGGGCTGCCTCAGTCTCTCCCTTCCAGCAACATCCCACCTCTTATTTTCAAAATGTGGCTTTGTCCCCATCACTCCCATGCTTTCCCAGCCCCTTACTCTTTTCTCCTCCTTCCCAGGCTGCCCTCCCCTCTCCTCACTGCCTCCCCTCACCCACCCTCATGCTGTAATGGAATGCACCTTGGCCTCAACCTATACCCCAAACCACAGTTCCTCCCAGGCCTAGTCTTCCCCTCAGCCCTTCCTGACATTCCAGCCCACAGTGATCTTTCCCTTCTGGGAACCTTCTAGAAGAGGGATGAGGAACCTTTTTTCTGCCAAAGGCCATTTAGATATTTATAACATCATTCGCTGGCCATACAAAATTATCAGCTTAAAAATTAGCCTGAAAGAATGTGCCCTTTGGTTGTTTAAATTTATTATATATTCCTAAGTGTTTTTGTTTACATTCCCCTGACCCCCCCCCCCAAAAAAAAAACCCAGAGGGAATGGAAGCAAACACTGTTGAATGATGATACACGGAGGAGACTGTAATCATTGCAATGAAACGATGGTGTAAAGCCGATGTTCTCACATGTAAACTATCACTCAGTTCACAAAAAAAATTTTTTTTAAAAATCAGCCTGCTCTATTTGGTCAAACATTTAATTAACTCATCCCTAATGTGATAGCTGGAACTGCAGTTGACTTGGTAGAACCAGCCCAAATAATTTCAAGGGCTGTATGGGGCCTGAGGCCTGGAAGTTTCCTACCCCTGGACTAGAGCCGTGCTGTCCAATACCGGAGCCGCAAGCTTAAATTTAACCTTTCAGAGCTGTGATGTCCAATAATGGAACCACCTGCCCACCTATGGCTATAATTACATTTAAATTCATTAAAATTTCTTTTAAAATTGTGTTTCTTGGTTTCATGGTACGCAATAACCACAGATGGCTAGAAGCACAAGTACAAAACATTCTCATAGCTATAGGAAGGTCAGCAGCCTCTGGCCCTTGGGAACTCTGTCTCACATAGAAAATTCTTGGCTTGTTGGGTGACTTTCAGCTCCCACCTAGCCTGGGACCCTCACCTCAGGCAAGGGGCCTGCAGTCTAGTAAGGCAAGCACTGGATAAATGTCTGTAGATTCAACACAGTCTCTGATTGGGAGAAGGGCTGTCCCAGAATCACATGAGCAAGCACGAGGCAGAGAAAATCCAGCCAAGGCTCCTCTCCAGATGGGTTCCCTCTCTATGTGGCGCTTGATTAACAATGTCTGCCAGGACCACAGCACATCCGCTAGCACTCCATTTTTAATTACTCTAAAGGTGTTTTAAATTACCCTGTAATGTAGCCGTTGGGGGTCAGAGGAAAGGCCATCAGTCCCAGCCTCAGGACACCCATCTGGCTCAGGACCCAGGAGGGCGTGGGCAGTGAGAGTATGGAGCAAGGGTAACAGACTCACGTAGGTGTCATGGTCATACACCTCCACCACGATGCTGGGCGGGTGCTCAGCAATGCTGGCAGGCTCGCCAAAGATCTCGACCTCATAGAAGATGAGCGTCTGGTCCCAGGTGGGGTTCAGGGTGTTCTTCACCACCACCGTCTTCTGACTCTGGTGCAGGAAGGAGACGATTGCGTAGGGATCTGTGGGGGGTCAGCAGCAAGGAAGGAGACAGGACACAGGAGACTGTGAGCATCGTCTGCTCAAGAGCCATCAGGCCATGAAACTGGAGCAGCGCAGTGAGACCTGTTCTCCCTTCCAGAAGCTCTCCTGGCCAATCAAGGAGACTGCTGGCAGACCACCCAGAGTCTGGGTCCCAGCAGGTTGGTGCAAGACCCGAAGACCTTCTACCCTTCAGTCTCCTTCCCAGATTGGCTGCCTGGGGTAAAGTCCACCTAAAGGAAGTGAGTGCCTACAAGGCCCACTCATTCATTAATTCATTTATCCAACAAGTATTGATTGAATACCATATGCATGCCAAGCTAGGGGCTGAGAAAACAACAGGGGCAAAATTATAACCCACACAAGCAAATATGAAATTATAATTATGATCAGTGCTTTGAAGATTAGAAAGAAGGTGCCTGCTTCCTTGAGGAATGCGATTAGGGCAGTGGATGCAATCTCACAGGCATAACTGGATCTATACTTGCACAAGCGCTCTCTGGTTGCCATGTGGCAAACAGACTGGAGCGGGCAGAGGAGGGCACAGGGAGACCAGTTAAGAGGCTACTGCAATAGTCCAGGCAGAAATGGCAGGGGCTTAGGTGGGTGTATGGCACTAGAGAGAAGCAGGTGGGCCCAAGAGATATTTAATGGTGGCTCGTGTGAAAGGTACCCAGAGGCAGCTCCCTGCTGTCCCACACCTCGTTCTCAGCCTGCCAGCCCCAGCCACATGGGCCTGGAAACTGCCCCGGAGTCCTTCCCTCTGCTTAGCCCCAGAGTCACCCCGTGTCACTAGTGCAGATTCTAGGGCCATGGTTCTCAAATGTGAATTGTGTTAGAATCACCTAGGAGACTTGCACAGAGAGCGGGACCCACCCCGCAGAGTTCCTGCTTCAGATGGTCTTAGATGGGGCCTAAAAATGTGCCCTTCAAACAAGTTCCCAAGTGGTGCTGGTACCGCCAGTCCAGGGACCACACTCTGAAAACACTTCAGGAGAATGCCCTATGGCAATGAGCACATGTGATCTGGAAGAGGGCTTGGATGGGAGGTTCCTCCAACTTCTCCCATTAGGATATCAGCTTGGAGGCAGGGCCCAGTCTGTTGCTGTTTGAGAAGATTCCAAGTGGCAGATGCTGAGGGCACCGGGGACAGAAAAGTCTATGGAAACAGGAGGCTGGCGGCTGGCTGCTGGATTCTAACACATGCCCTGTGTCCTTGGCACCCTGCCTCCATCTGCAGAGTCCCACAATCCAAACCCAGCAGTGTCATGTGACCTCAAGGGAGGGGCCACACAGCCTTGGAGGTAATTGTTCAGGTACAATCCTGGTAATGGGATGAGAAGACAGTTCTTTCACACAAAGGGAATGGTTGCAGGACCGGTTGCCTGGTCACAAGGAGACCAAGTGGCAAGGCAGGGTCATTGCAGAGGAGGTGGCAAGAGAAGGAGGCTGGCAAAACATGACCATAGGAGAGGAGGGAAGGTTGGGATGGGCGATGGGGAGAACTCTCAGCAGGGGATGGAGGCAGCAGGATCCAAGATTGTGGTGGTCACCCTGGGATGGGGGTAGAGGGTGCTTTGTGGATGAGCAGGAGGATCTCTGTTAGGAGGAAGGAGCTATGGGCACCCAGTGACTTGACAATGCTGGTTTGACCAGAGGCAGCCACTAGCCTGGAACCTGCCTGTCCCACAAAACACCATGGTATCAACACAGAGGACTTCCTGTCAGAAATGGGTTTTGAACCTGATTCTAGGGGTAGAAGAGGGCAAGGGAGGCCCTTGGCAGAAAAAGAAGCAGAGGAGAAATGCCCAGCACTCTCCCAAACCCCACATGGTAGGACCTCCTGGCATGGGGCTCCCCCTTCCATGCACCAGCCCTGGCAGGCCTGGCCCCAAGCCCTTTCCCTCTGCCCCTGGCAGGGCCCAGCGGCGTCTGTGCATTTAATGAAACCGTCTGGCTGTGATACCATCAGCTCCAAGCTCGGCAGAGAACCTCTCCCAGGTTCCAGTAAGGGAAAGAGGGCGCGTTCCGATAAATAAAACCATATTAGAGAGCCGGTGAAAAAGCCCCTTTTGTTCCCGCCCCCCCTCCAGCCCCCTTGCTTCCCAACGCTTTATTTTTATAAGCGTGCGGGCCCCAGACCGACCGCGTTTACACAAAGATCACAATGGCACATTGTAACGGCTGCGCACGCAGTATTGGTGTTGGCAGCACCCCCCATGCTGGCCCCGAGCAGCCCACCTCCTTCCAGCAACCCCATCAGCTCAGGCAATGAGCTCAGCACTGGGGAGGGGGGTACTTTCAAACAAAAATCACCCAGTCGCACCGGCCCGCCCGCCCAGGGGAGGAAAAAACACACAACAAAGGCATTGTAAAGAGCAGGCCTGGAGGCCTGGGGCCGCAAACACTGGGCTTCTGTGTGCTGGGCTAGGTCTCTCCGACAGAGCCCAGCACCTCAAAAAAAAAAAAAAAAGAAAGAAAGAAAGAAAAGTGGGTGGGGGCGGGGAGTTGGTGTTGCTGAAGCAAGGTGGTCAGAGAGAAGCACAGATGCATCCCTCTTTCAGAAAAGCAAAAGATGCCGTTGATGAGAGGGAGCGGCACAGATTCCTCAAGAACAGTGGAGGGGCGATGAGGGGCTATGTTTCCACATCCTCCCTGACCTAGCCACACCCCACCCTGGAAAGAGGTAGCACCTGCCCTCAGAGCTCACACACCATGCCACAGAAAGCACCCTCCCCCTCTTGGATTACCCCAAGCTGAGGGAGAAGCGAGTTTGAGAATGCAGACCACCGTAGGGACACTCCAGCCAGGATTGCACAGAATTCTATTGGACTCCACCACCAGGAAAGCAAAGACCGGTCACCAGGCCCCCAGCGGTTGAGTTCTTTGCTGGACCCAGAGCCCTATAACTGAAGCATTTGAGCTGAGCCCTGCTCCCCAGACCATACCCTTCCCAGAGTGCCAGGGAGCACCGTTATAATTACGGCACACTCTGCCTATTAAGAATACCCCACAGGGAAGAGCAGACAGTGTCACTCCCAACTTTGCCCCAAGAAGATCAAGTCACCAGCCCAAGTTTGAGTGTGGCCAGGACTAGACTCTTTCAACCTTGCCACACTCCTAGGAAAAGGGCCCTTAACCAAAGTAATGTAACTAGAACTATAACACGGCTATATTTTTTCATATAAAATTAAAGAAAATTATTTCAAATTATAAAAGCCAGTGTTGGCAACTACTTGATGAAATATATACTGCTCCTTATTGCTGGAAACAATTCAGCAAACCTTCAGGAAAGCAATTGGGCAATATGCCCCAAAAAACATAAAAATGTTTATACCCTTTTCCCTATATTCCTGGAAATCATCCAAATTAACCACAAAACTGTATGTATAAAGATGTTCACTAAAGCATTGTTTATATTGCAGTATCCACTCAATATACTCATACAGTTATTGACTGACTAGCATGTAGCAGGTAAGCACAGTACTAGGAGTATGAGGAGAAAGGAGACATAATCCAAGTTCTTAAGATTAAGACTATTGACTTGGTTGGAAACAGTAAGCAAACCACAATGATAATTCAAGGTGATTTACAAGTTAGTACTAATGTAGTAGCATAGTGGTATGAATCAGGTTGCTAACCTCAGGGTCAGCAGATTGAAACTGCTGTTCCATAGGAGAAAGATGAGGCTTTCTAGTCCCATAAAGATAACAGGGTTACAGGGTTACTATGAGTCAGAACCAACTCCACAGCACATAAACACCACCAGTAGTGTGGCTGGGAGGTATGAGCACCCAACTTAAACTTCCCTGAATTCTAAACTCATCTTGAGTCCTAACAAACTCATCTTGAGTAGGCAGCTAGCAGAGACCAAGGAAAGCCAAGAGTTCCAAGCACTCAGCATGGCACAGGCAAAGACACAAAAGACAACAGCAAGCAGTTGGTCTCCTGAGGGGAAAAGGAGCGCTCAGGGCAGTAGGACTAGACCTGGATGGAGAGGAAGGCGGGCAGATTGCAAATGCTCCTGGACTCATGCTGAGCAATTTGGACTGAGTTCTGTAAATCAGTGTTTCCCAAAATGTGTACTTCAACATGAGTTCTCTGGGGAGCTAAAGATCATTTAAACAGGTTCAACAGGCTTCTTTACTGCCGCTGCCGTCCTGAGCCTCTCGGATGCCGCTGAGCACTGTAAATCTCTCATTTTGCAGTGTTCCCGGTCTCTCTTACTCAGGAACCCTTTGTAAGTGGAGCATTTCACAAGCCTCCAATGCACTTTGGAAAACACCCCCTAAAGCTTGTCAGGTAGATGACCCAGCCAGAGCCAACCTTAACAAAAGGTTATGTTAAAAACTCTGGGAAGGCCATGAACATGGTCCAGACACACGACGCCCAGTGAGCAAGAATTTTCCAGCACCACCCAGGACAAGAGTCTGGGCCTGGCCAGGAAACTGAAGCACTTGTCACCACAGCAGTGGTCCCAGCCTTGGGCAACTGTGGTTCCTCAGAGCTCACTGTGGTCTGTCCTGGCAAGACTTCTCAGGACCACCCAACTGGCACACAGCTTTGTCCTCCCATGAGTCAGGAGGTCAGCAAAAAGGGCAAAGGACTTCTGATCTCTCTCAAGATATCCTTCACCTACCAACCATAAAAGTATAGCTTAGCATCTGGTCTACTAGCCATCTGTCATTTACTTGGTCAGCCAAGTCAAGACCAGCAAGCCCTCTGAGACTCTCAGTGGAGCTTTTGGACCCCCAAGCTGAGGATCATCCATCCTCAGAATATGGTGACCTCACACCAGTGCTGTTACGGCAGCTGTATAAGCAATGCTATCTTACAGCTCCTTCAAGGCACAACAATTCTCAGTGGGAGAAGGTGGCAAAGCAGAATATTGTAGCAAAGCAAACAGCCCCCCTCTCAAGTTCCCTTTAAGAAATAGTAATGTATATATATATAGCAAAGGGCAACTCAGCTGAGACAGCTGTTCAGGAAGTGATATGCCCCAGTCAGTACAGACTGAAGCGGTGAGCATGAAGGAACTGAGTGTGGTTTTGAGGGCCTATGATCTCTACATCCTCTAGAGTCATATCTATTAAGTCTAAAGTAAACACATGTTGCCCTCAATACACAGGATATACAGGATGGGCAACTTGGACACTGGCTACCCAAAATGGAGGTGGGAACTACAAAAACAAAAAGTGACTGGCTTACAAGCTTTCAAGAGGGAGCCTAAATCCAGAGGGCACGGAGGAAGGTTGAATCTCCACTGAGTAGTATCCAATCTGTCTGGGTGGGACTGATGAAAGGAGATATGGATAGCACTCATGTGGTACAATAGTGAATAATTACTATCAGGACTGACTGTGAGGGTTGGGAATGTAAAGGTAGACATTTTGTAGCTAAAGGAGGGGAGTTGACTTTGCAGTCCAGGAGCAGAGTTCCCTGGGACCATCAAGGGAGAAGAGCAGAGAGCGGGACCCTACCCAGAGAAGAAGTGATGCCAGAGACGGAGGCAGAGATGATGACCTGGAGAGATGGAGCAGCTGGGAACTCTAGAACCAGAGAGGGAGAAGGGCTGTGTGCTGACAACCAGGGGGCAGGTTTGCGGGTGTACCATTTGGTTGGTTGATGATACATGGAGGGGATTGTAACGATGGCAATGTAATGATATATGATAGGATGAATGTAAAGCTAATGTTCTCCCATGTAAACTATCACATAATTCACAAGAAAACATTAAAAAAAAAAAAAAAAAAAAAGTACACACATGTTCAAAAAGCAACTCAGTCCCAATATCAAACCTAAGTCATTTAAATTAAGCATCATTTCATATTTTTATACCTAATTGTTACCTGGGAACACACACACTGATAAACATACAATCACATATCTACACATACCTTCCCACCGGTCCAAAGAAGTGAAGTTAGCCATACAATCAAATCCTACCCAAAAAGCAACCCTTAGGCTGCCAAGATAGCAATACCTCCACCAAGAGCTTGCACACATCCCCTATACTGAGTTCAATATGACTCAACAAGTATTTCCTAGGCAATTCCTGAGTATTCCCCAAAACCCTCATGAGGGATTTTCTGGGCAGATGGGAGAAGGCCCCAGCCTCCCAAGGCAGCTTCAAGACACACCATACAGGAGATGAGCAGAGAGCACACCCAGAGCTGTGTAGGACCAAGGCCAGAACAGAGAGCATTTCGGGGCTCCAGCTCAGAACACCGCAGGTTGGAGTCACAAGAACACTTCCTGAGGAGGGCCCTCTATGTCCCAGACACCCTGACTGGCAGGCTGGAAGGTGCTACCAGCGACAGACGCTGGGCTAGACCCTCCCCTGGCCCTAGACATTCCGGATTCACACTTGAGTTTCCTCAGAGAAACACCAGCCAGTGGCCGTGCACAGCCTCCAGCCGCCAGCCACCCCAAGGTCAGTTCCAGGGGAGGAATTGCTTTGGTTTAAGGTTTGGGAGTGAAAATAAACACTCTGGGTTTTATAGGTTCACCCGTGTTGGCTGCTGTTTTCCTTTCCAGCAGCTGCTCAATCGGGCCTTTCATTCAGAAACCAGTGGCCTCTGAGGAAGCCCTGGGCAGTGCCCTCAAAGCTCAAGGGATGTTTATTCGGGGGAGGGGCTAGGCCCAGGATGGAAAGTGTGACATCTCCCCAGGCCAGTGCCAGGCTGACCCTGTCGCTGCAGTCCCCAGGGGTGAGGGCCGGCTCCTCAAGCTGGCTCCTTAGATGAGTTCCCTCCCTGCAGGGTCCTGGGCCGGCCCAGCCCACAGAGGCCAAGGGGCTTCCCACATGGGCTTCTGCTTCACCACCCACACTGCACAAACTTGTGTCTGCACCCTCACCCATCACACCCTCCCTGGAAGGGAGAGGAAGCGAGACTATGAATTCATTATTTCTTTTCTGCTTTCAGGGTAAGTTCTAGTTGTCAGAAAGCATCCTGGCAGCATTTCCCAGCAAATTGTAGATGTAGATATCTGCTCCAGCCTACCAATCCCTGGGCACTGGTTTGAATGAGCTTTACAGAGGGCTTTCTCAGGACCCTAGCCCTAATGCTCAACAATCACTCCATCCACCAGGTGCCTGGCTGCACAGGTCCCTGAGACAGAGGTAGTAAAGAATTTGGGGCAGCCACAGTACTGGGAAAGAGGAAACAGAGGTGTCATCCCTCATGGGGGTGAGGAGCTGATTAAGAAGAAAGCTGGGAAAATGGCTGTAACATGAGTGGCCAGTCTGAGAACAGAGGGTCATTCTCAAAAACTGATTCAATTCTACTCACCAAAGGAGCAAACTTGTGGAGAGTGATAGCCTTGGCTTCAGCTACCAGCTTGGCCATGTGTCAATTATTTTAACTCAAGCAATTTAGTTAGCCTGAGTCTCAGTTTATTCATCTGCAAAATGGAAATATTGAATACCTACCTACTTCACCTTGTGATTGCAGGAACTGCATGATGTCAGTAAAGTGCCTAACACAATAAAAATGAGTTCTTTAGAGATCAAGTGCTGCAGGTTCAAAGGTCAAACAAGGCCCTTTCTTGAAGGAGGATACAGTGAAACTGGGAGAGATGAGTCATAGATAGACTGAAACAGACTCTGCAGTGGATCAAGAGAAGGCCAGGAGAGGAACAAGACAGGCAGAAGAGAAGGAAAGACCAGTAACTAAGGAAGACCTGAGGAAGGAGCAACCAGCGTGATTAAAAAAAGAGTTAGGGGTAATATGGGCTGTGTCTTGAAGAATGAGTAGGAGTTGGCTGGATTAAAAATTGGAAGGGAATGCATCCTAGGCAAAGTGAACACTGAATGCAAAAGCCAGGTAGGTCTATGGAAGAACTGGGCAGGTGAGGACGATAACTGGGCCAGAAATGCAGACAGAGGAGAATGAGAAGAAAGATGAAGCAGGTGAGTTGCTCGGGGATTTCATCATGAGTTCCAGAGGAGCTTGACTGTAATGCTGAAGAGTTGGAAATCTGTCAATGTCTACATTTGAATAAGAGAAGTGTCACATAGCCAGATCTGTCAAAAGCAGTGTGGAAGGTGGCAGGGAAGCCAGGAAATAGCCAGAGTAGTCCACATAAAAAGGGACAAGGTCAGTGGAAGTTGACAGCAAGAGGAGGACACGTATCTGAGAGAGCATTGGGAGCCAGAATCAAAGCAGTAAAAGCAGAAAAGTCAGGGTCTGGGTGGCAGGGTCTCAAGGTGCTTGGTTAGGACAAAATGAACCAAGATGCCTCTGAGGAAGGTACCCAGTGGACAGAAGGGAGATGGCTAAACATGGCTAGACATGGATCAGGAGTGGGGGTAGCTGAGGGTCTGGAAGTTGCCCACACATGAGTGGTCACTGGATCTAGGGGAGAGGAGGATCCCAGTACATAAAGAAGAGAACACCGACAGGATTCCTGGGACCAGGCGTCTGAGGGAGTGTGGTAGTTAAAGTTGTTTGTCAACTTGGCTGAGTCATAAGTCTCAGGAGTTTGGCTATTATGCAATGATGCAGTCATTCCCCACAAAGAGCTCTGATATAATGGGATCATTTCCCATGATGCGATCTGCTGTGAACAACCAATCAGTTGAATGGGAGTTTCCTCTGGGGTGTGGCCTGCATCCAGTATCTATGGACATTCTGGTAAAACTTTGTGTCTTTTGTTCGATTTGAATCCTGCATCTGACTCATCATCATTTGACCTCTAGTTCTTCAGACTTGAACCAGCAGCCTGTCAATTTTGGGTTTCATTAACTTCTGCAGCCTGCGAGCTAGTAACCTGCCATTTTACCTGCTTATCAGCCCCTGAAACTATATGAGTCAGGAAAAGTCCCCAGTCTGATGTCTGACCCATAATCTTGGGTCTTGCCAGCCTCTATAACTACATGAACCAGCTCCTTGAGATAAATATTCCTATATTTATATATACAGATACAACCTTCACTGGTTTTGATTCTCTAGAGAACCCAGCCTAAGACAAGGAGCAAAGAGGCTGCTGGGTAGGGGAGAGAGAGAAAAGGAAACTAGAGAAGACACAGGAGGGAGTAGTTTCCTGGGTGCCAAGGCCACAAGAAACTTTCAGGAAAATCAGTCAGCAAGGCCAAACCCTGCAGAGGAGTCAAAAAGATCACAGACAAGAGGCTGCTACTTAACAATCAGGAGGCTCCAAGAACCAGCAATATCAGCTTCCTCCACACACCCAGCCAGCAGAGTATCCCACCCACAAAGGAGACACTTCAGACTGTGGTCCCTGCTCTCTGAAGGCCTGGCTCTTAATCTCCAACTCTGAGCCCACAGCCCCAGGATCTCCTCCTTTACCCCTACCTACCAGAAAAAGAGTCCTTGTCCATCGCGGGCAGGTCCCGGGCCTGGTACATGTAGCAGCGTAGATGATAGCGGTTCCCATCTTCACAAAGGGATAAACAAAGATGCTAGTATGAGGGGCTGGCATGGATAAGAGGTAGGACAGGGAAGGACAGATCTTCTCACGGGATCAGGCAAACACACCACAGCTCAAAGAGATGTGCCACTGGGCGAAAGGACACAGAGGAGATGGAAGGCGAAAGGAGGAGAGAGGTCACAGAGATGGTGGGGCAGCCAGAATGCACAGGGCTTTGAGTGCCCAAATTCAAGTAAAAGATGACACACACAGATATACACCATACACAGAGATGTATCCATAAACACAGATGCACACAGTGACACAGAACAGTACACACAAACGCACCACACATACACAGATGTGCACATACAGAACTGCATGTGCCCACATAAACCCAAAGACACAGACACACACCACAATACACAGGTGCATATACACACTGCAGAAACCACTGACACACAGACTCAGTTACCCACGGCCCCCACATGACCATATAACCCACACCAACAGAAAAGTAGGCTTACACACCCACCCACCCCCAAACATCACTTACAGTCAAAGATGCAGGAAATTGTGGGTCTATTGACACCAAAGCTCAAGGTAGAGACGGACATGGAATCTTCACTCCTGTCATCCACCACACCACCCTGGAGACAAAAAGCTGGTCACGGCAAAGTCAGGGGTTAGGGAAAGAGGAAAAGGCTGGCCCAGAGCACTACGTTCCAGGGACCTGGAAACCTCTAGACAATGTCCCCAACTTTGGTAAGCTGGACTGTCAGGGTTCTAGTTTCATTCTGTGGGTGCTCATCCTCTCCTAAAGCATCCTCAATTTCAAATCACCAAAGGACTGTGGTAAATTCTTCTTCCTCTCTCATAAACAGAATTTTCAATTGTTCCAGTCAAAGAGATTAAAAGACAGAAGGGCTCTAAGGGGCTCTGCAGTGGGGAATCAAATGGAGACCTGCCAATTAGGGATGAGTTAACTGGAGGACTTAGTCTAGCATTCTCTGGGGCCTACCTCTCTTCATCTCTGTACATCTGGGGACAGTGCTGGTACAGACACAGGCATTGAATGGGGTCCATATCTGGGGTGGAGGGTACTCCTCTGTATCCCCCCACCTCACTAGTTCCCACTTCACTGAGGGTGAGGACAGCTCAGGTTAGACCCAGGGACACTGTGTCTAAAGATAAAGTCAACCCATCAGGTATCCTTAGAAGCGCTGGGTTCACATTTGATGTGACCAAGACCAGACAACTTCCCTGAGCCAGACACCCACCCTCCCCCACCACCACCTCTGCCACATGGTAGCTCCTCAACATGGTCCTGTATCATCTGGGGGCTCAGGGACCCAATAGCAACCAAGACTTCTCTCAAGGGCAGGAAATGTGGTGCCACACCCCAGCCTAGCCTCCCAGCCTTGGCTTTCAACATCTTATCCACTCCCCTCCCCTGCATGGAGCCCAATCCAGGCCCACATTGGGAACCTGGTGGCACTGCCCAGAGGTCCATGCTGTCTCCTCTCCCTGCAGCCCAAGGTCCTCTCCCTCCTTGTCCTCTTCCCAGACTGTCATCTGTTCCATTTCAGAGGCAGTAGCTTAAGCAGCAAGGTGGCCTGTGATCCATTTCCTGGCCCAATCCCTCTCTCCAATCCACCCTTGAAAGAAAGCCCTTGTCTCATCCCCAGATGCCTGTTCATTCTGCTCAGACCCACTCAAAAGTGTCCAGTTCCCAGAGACATTTCTGCTGGGCTGCCCTGACTTCACTCCAGCTGCAGACGTTTGTCTGGGAATCTTGACATCTCCCCACACCCCCAATAATGATAAAGTTCCCCAGTGCTCCATATATAAGACTCCATGTCCCTCCTCTGCAGAGTCTCAGACCCCACATCCAAAAAGCCTCTCAGGATACTTGTTCTTCCACTTCCATCCAGTCCACACCCCAAAGCCAAACCACCTCCATTACTCATAGTCAACTCTTCTTCACTCCGGTGCCTGACTTTTCATTGACCCTTGCTAGCTGAAGGCTCAACTCCAGCCTCTTAGTCAGACCCCTAGTGGTAGTCCCATCTTCCCAATCCAACACCAGGGATTATCTCCTCTAGCCATTCCAATTGCAAGCTCAAGCCAAGTGTTCTTACCCACCCCACTCCTTCACTCGTCAGGTCATCCAAGGACACTGAGGTGAAACTTACCCTGGCCACTCTGAAGTCAACAAAGAAATGCATCCTTGGAGAGAGACAGAGCCGCTGTGGGCTCTAAGCCCATGGACTGAGTAAGGTTGTGTGCCTGTGGACAGGAGGCTGGCTTGCAGAATGTGCCTTTTGGACATTTAAATGAATTTTTTTGCTTTGTAAGTATACATCAAATATTTTTGTTTGTTCATTTGTGAAATAGAAGATGTAAAAGAGAAGGCACAGGGAAGAAGCAGGCTAGCTGTTGTTGCAGAGAGGGGGACTATAATCATTGAGATGAAACAAGGTGTATAGTTCATTGAATGTAAAGCTGATGATCTTGTCCGTAAACCTTGAAACTCAATTCACGATAAAAAGTTGAAAAAGAGAGAGAGAAAAAGAAGTGCATCCTAAAGGTGGTTGTTGTTAGGTGCCATAAAGTCAAATTTCGACCCATGATGGCCCTGTGTGACAGAGTACAACTGCTCCGTAGGGTTTTTGTTTTGCTTCTATAGGTATGTACCATTTTATTACATAGAGTCTCACAAACATGAAAACAGCATCTGAAAAAGGGAACTAGACTATCGATCTCCATCTGCAGAACTAGGGGAGGATGGAGGACAGGCAGTGAGATCTTGGATCATTTGGGGCCAGGCTGCAACAGTAGGAAGGATGAGAAAAGAACCTATGTAGAATGAGCTGATGTTACTTTAAAGAGACTGAAAAATACAAGGGATCCCTGAAGGCCTGTCCCCTCATCACCACCACCCCGGTCCTAGAATGCTCAAAACAACTGTACCTTTCCAAAGCTACCAACCAGGTACTCTGCATTTCAAGATTTTGTCCTGTGACTGCTTAAAAGCATCCCTGATGATCATGACAAATTGTGACTGTCACACTGTAAAGGTAGAAGTTTTATAACAAAAAGGGGGGGAGTAGTTAATCTTACATTCCAGAAACACAGAACACTAGGATCATCAAGGGAGAAAAGCATAAGTGGAATGTGGGACCCTATCCAGAGAAGCAGTGACACCAGAGATGGATGCAGAGATGATAACATGGGAGAGAGAGCAGCTGAGGACTCTAGACTCATGAAGAGAAAGGCTATGTGCTGGAGAGCAGGAGGGAGGCTTGCAGAATGTGCCCTTTGCTTGTTTAAATGATTATATATTCCTGAGTGTTTCTGTGTACATCCCAAGGGGGGTGGGGGAGAGGGGACTAGAAGCAAATACTGTTGAATGGAAAGGACTGTAATCATTGCAATGAAACAATTAATGTAAAACCGATGTTCTACCATGTAAACTATCCCTCCATTCACAATTTTTAAAAAAGTATCCCTTATGGCTCAAACCAAACAGCTGCTAAAAGAGTTCACCTAATAGAACTGAGGCCTACAGATAATGATATTTCATATATTTTTCTATAAATACACAGAGAAATTTAAAAAAAGAGAAACTCTGAGGGGTTGAGGAGAAATGCCGGAAACTTGGCAAGAAGCCAGAGCTGGAACAGTCTACTCAGGCCAAGATGACCTCCTCCTTGACCTCTATGGCTTCAGGCTTCTTTCTCCTCCTTGGTTTTCTCTTCTTCTGTGACTTCTGGGCCTTTCTGTTTTTCATCCTCTATTTTGTCTCTCTTGGCTTTTTTGAGGTTGGAAAAGTTCTTGCGGTCACCCTCTCCCTCCTCACCAGAGTCGGAGAACTCTTCTTCACCAGAAATTTGTTTGTCAGAGGACTAGATTCATTAGAGTCCTCTTAATCCTCTGGAATGGAATCCTCAGGAACCGCCTGCATTTGGACCCCAGGTGCATGAGGCAACAGTCTCCGGTTTTCAAACAGTCTCTGTTTGATCTTCTTCAAATACTCGTTAGTGATCATATTGGAATGACTCATGAGAAGCTTGAAATCTGGTCCAAGTATTCAAAGTAGTCATTGTATGAAGCTCATTAGGGATATCTGTGCTCAGGGCCACAGCTGTTTCATATGCTCAGGACTGAGAGCAACTTTACGAATGGTGTAACCACCTCCTTCCAGCATCAGCATTAGCAGGTTAAAAAAGGTCCTCACTTGCCTTTTGATAGTCAGATTGAAACAACCTAATCTATCCCCAGGTAGGTAGTCAGAACCACAGTGCAAGGCAACTAAACTAAACTGGAACATCTCCATTACTTTGAATATTGTTTTTGTTGTTAAGTACCGTGGAGTCAGTTCCAACTCATAGAGACCCTGTACAAGGTTTCCAAGGCTGTAAATCTTTATGGGAGTAGAAAGCCTCATCTTTCTCCTGCGGAACCACTCGTAGTTTCGAACTGCTGACCTTGCAGTTGGCAGCCCGACTCGTAACCACTACGCAACTTTCAATATTACCAGCCTGAAAATGGCCCCATAGGATTCATCATCAACCCCATCTCACCAATCCCATAAGTCTCCTGTTGCTGGGAAGTACTCTTCATACTTATCTAAAGATACAGTCATGACCTTGTCTATGTTATCAAAGGCCTCTTCCATGCCTTTTGAGTTTCAATGTCAAAATACAGCATCCACTGGTGATACTTCAGCAGTTCCTGGATGGTAAAGGCAGTATCATTGATGTAACAGAAACCGAATGCTTTGGACTTCTTTGCATGGTGCAGGTCCCCAAGCCCAATTCACAGTGATATCTGACTGCTGCTTATTAAGCTTCACAGCACTTGCCACAGAGCTGCCAGTAAACAGCTGACAGAACTCAAACAGGGCATCAAATACCAGACAGTCTTCACCAATGTTGAATCTCTGCATCTGTTTGCTATACTCGGACATGTTATCTGGGCAAATGGAGTACAAGAATTTAATGTAGTCATCGCTGTGGTGCTTAGTCATCTCCTCAGCATTAGCACTGCAAGGCTATTGACATAGTTCCAGCTTTCAGGAGAGATCATAGTTGAGCAGCAAATTGTGAGTCGTGAGAATTCGGTAGTGCTTTATTGGGTGACCTCATCCATAACTGTAATTTCCAATATTCGCGTCATAGTAAGAACAGATTTTCTTCCTAGGAATCAGTCTGCACCATTTTGCTCATGTCTCATCCCTCACATGAGTGGGTCCCTCTGCCCTCCCGCCTCTGACTCTGCTCAGCAGCCGACCCAGGGGTTTTTTTAGGCTGTAATAGTTATGGGAACAGATCGCCAGGAAGTCACAAGGTGAGTTTGAACAGTCAACCTTTCAGTTTGCAGCCAAGCCACTAGGGTTCCTGCTCCATTCCTGCAAAAGGCCCTCAAAGCACACACTCAGGAAAGAAATGTACATCTGCTCTCCCAGAAGAGACTCCCCAAAGTCCTGCAACAACTCTGCAGGCTCTGACTCCTAGCACAGGGCAGTCCTGACAGGAATGACTGTCACCCCTTGACACAAAAATCAAACATGGGCCTTAGAGGCAGACTGCTTGGTCTCCAACTCAGACCCCATCATTTATTGGCTGTGTGACTTGGGGCAAGTTTC